AATTGTTTGGAAAAATGACAATGGCTGTAGTTTGTTCAAGTCTGCAGATTTATTAAAAAAGAGAAATAATAGTTGGCACCATGTCAGGGGTAGCAAAGAAACACAGGGAATCTGAATAGGGTAGGACAATAGGGAGTAGGAGATCATGCGTGGTGTCCAGAGATATGATATAATGCCTTCAGGGAGGCCCAGAAAAGGATTAAAAATAACTCAAGTTTGACAAGTCCTAGGGAAGATGAATCATAGATAATGACAAAAGAAACAGCACGAGGACAGGATCACAGAATTTGTGTCCCCCGACAGTAAGAAAGTTGAAAGGTCAATGAAGAATAGGTAGGTGCAGGCACTTACACTCTATTCTCACCAAAAAATTGGACACAGACTTTGAGTTTTAGAAGAATAGTCAACTGCAGATTTAATATTTTTCTAAAAGGGAGCGGTGACAATTCTCCCTCAGTCTAACCAGAACTTTCCTAGAAATAAACAGAAAATAAAATCACAAAAAATATCTACTGTTATTAGTATTATTATTTTTTTGGAGGGGATTACTAAGATTCATAACACATTTGGAAAAAAACAACAGTTAAAAATAATAACCAAGAAACTAGTCATTGACCACTATTACACATACCATGCAGTAAGGGAATTGCAGCATAGTTTTTTCTTGGCTTTTGGCAGGGTACTTTTCAGAGAGGCTTTTGGGAACTGGGTTTTTTTTTTTCTTTTTTTTTTTTTTTTTCCTTTTTTTATTAGTTTGCTTTAATTTTATTTCCCTACAAAGAAAAAGAAAGGAGAAGGAGAAGGAGAAGGAGAAGGAGAAGGAGAAGGAGAAGGAGAAGGAGAAGGAGAAGGAGAAGGAGAAGGAGAAGGAGAAGGAGAAGGAGAAGGAGAAGGAGAAGGAGAAGGAGAAGGAGAAGGAGAAGGAGAAGGAGAAGGAGAAGGAGAAGGAGAAGGAGAAGGAGAAGGAGAAGGAGAAGGAGAAGGAGAAGGAGAAGGAGAAGGAGAAGGAGAAGGAGAAGGAGAAGGAGAAGGAGGAGAGGCAGAGCTCATGAAGTGAAATCTCTAAAATGTGAAAGGTATCACTGCCATACCAGACAGAGCACGTACAGCAACAAATAAACTCTCAAGAGGTTCACAGTTGGAAGACAGAAGTTTCCTCTAGTAAGACACCAGCACTCTTTTTCTTGAAAAGAACTTAACATACGCCAAAACACACACAAACATTCCCTTGAACTTCAAACTGTTTCAGACATTCTTCAGCCAGGCTGGAAAACGGCTATTTAAATTATTAAGAGTGAGTGCAGAGCATTATACATTTCAGAAGGAAAAAAAAAAAAAAAAAAAAAAAAGAATGAGCAGTGAAAAAGAAAAAAAGAGGAAAGAAGAAAAAGAAAAAAGAAAATTTACCTGCTTATATAAACAGTCATTTAAGATGTAGAAACAGAAGAGGGGTAAAAAGAATCCCAATCAAACTGTGCCCAGAAGTAGAGAAATGAAGTACACTGTTATTACTGGTATTCACAGACTAAATTGTGTTGAATACAGGAATTAATTATTTTCAGACACTCATTGGCCATGGAAATATTGTAAGAAGATAATGGACAAGAAGGCATAGACAAGAAGAAAATACATTATCTCTGAATATTCTCTTGTCCAGCAAAGCTGACTAGAGCTCAAGGCAGAAGTACCATGTCTTTGATATCTTAATGATAATTAATAATTAAAAACATTGGATTTTTTTTTTTTTTTGTCTTTTTTTAACCACCTTCCATAGTGGTAAAAATTCTCAAGAGCTTTAAGTTGTAAAGCCATACTTATTTCACAGATGGTATCAGTTAGAAACATTTCTAATAAGGAAATCATATAAAAATTTCAGAAACTATTTTTCAACAATTAAATAACACATCTTCCTCTAAACAATAAGATTTTCTTAAATTAATTTTTTCTTAAAAAGAAATGCATTGGATAGGTAAATTATGTAGCTTTTAAGTGTTTGAGTTTTCCCAGAAAGTGAAAGTACAGACTAACTTATTTTAGTAGCATAGACTAGCTATAAAATCAAATAACCAACCCACCAATGATGGAAAGAGGCCTTTTGTTTGGACATATTCATTAATATTGATGTTGCAAATTATATTAAAAACAGCATGTGAAAGATATTGATCAGAAACATCAGATTTTCCTGTAAAAACAAGTTATTAATAAATAACTAAAACCTATTTCTTGTTTGTTTGTTTTTCAACTCTAAAATACATAGTTTGATTGTGTGAATAACTGCTGGGGAGACTCCAATTGAATATCCCATATCATTAATAATGACTTCAAAGGGAAGTATTTTATACAACAATCTCTGTGTATTTGTATTCAGTCTCCATTCATTAAATCACCTTTGCTTGTTAACTTGAAGGTACATACTACTCCTTTCACAGCCATACTTAAAAGAGAGAGCTTTCTGACACCTTAATTATGTTACATGGCATATCGCAACTATTTTGCCAAATTCTGCATTACTGAAGAAATAACTTTTGTTTAAAGAGAAACAAAAAGAAAACAAACAACAACAACAAAAAAAGCATAAATGTTTTTCTCACAATCCTAGTCTAGAAGTAAATGGTCAGAGTTACATTGTGAAAGTATATTCAGTCCGAGAGCTAACTAGTAATTTGTATTAGAAAGGAAACATCAATACTCCATCTTTAGGTATAATGTGATTGCCACACACATGCATTTGAATATTCAAAGTTATCTGTCACGTTTCCCATTTCCTCCAGAGAAACTTGTATGATCAAAAAAAAAGTTTTTTTGTTTTTTTTTTTATCATGAGCAATGCCATTTAAATCTTTCACAAAATTTATTTTAAAGAAAAAACGACACTAAGTATTGAAGTAAGGCATTGAAGATGAAAAAAAAAAAAAAAGTAGTGAAACTGAAAATAAGACAGAGAGAAAGCAGACTGCCTCCTTCTAAATTTCTGTTCTATTGGTCTGCCTCCTTTTCCTATGGCATTTCGCATTATCATGAAAGGCATAAGACAGAGTGGCTGCGGAATCCCTAATTCTTTTACAATGACTGGTGATAATGTTACTGATGCTCGGCCTGTAACATTTTGCTTTTGGGTTGCCTCTTCCAGTGTAACTATCAGCACATCTACAAGAGACCCACATTCCAACAGAGAGCTTTGACTTACTGACAGAACATTCTCAAACTCAAACATACATCAACTTAAAAGTATACAAGCACAAAGAGGTATTTGCAAATTTAAATGCAATCCATAAAAAGCCATAACTGCAAAAAATTATAACTAGGAGTTATAATTCAACTGTAAGGAAAAAAGAATAAAAAACTCCAGACAGATAACGTGCCAGGTCTCTCACACACATACTTTGCACACACAGTTTGTAAGGGTCCAACTGCAACTCCAAGCTTTTCCCACAATGCAAAAATGATCAATAACACACTTACATCTATGAATTTTCTTTTGAATGGGGTTCAGGCAGACATTCCTTTAAAGATCCATCAACGTAAAATTTCTTTTCTTTCTCCTCTGATCTTAAATTAAAGCTTTATCTTGGCCCAGAAGAAATAGGCGTGCTGTAAAATATCTGAAAGCCAACATAACATTTCTTTAAGGAATACAACTCATACTGACTGGGGGAAAAATAAAACACAGTATGAATTAATTTATGCCTGTTCTGACTATGCATTTCATTGCTAACACAGTACAAGAGAAGTCATTGAAACAGTATTTGGGGATAATTTGTGCTTCTAATCTGTTGGGTTTACTGTTGGTTTTGTTTGTTTTTTTTTGTTTGTTTGTTTTTGGATTTGTTTGTTAGTTTGTGGGTTGTTTTGTTGTTGTTTTGGTTTGGTTTTGGTTTTGGAGGGGTGAGTGGTAAATATGCCTAATCCAGAAGTTTTAGTTTAGTAGAAATTCACAGCATAGGACACATGAGTAGCTCAATCACTATTGATATCTACCTCCCTTGTTTCTGCTGCTCACAATTTTGTGATACTCAAGGACCATGGGCAAAGCAGAACTAAGCTGTCTCTTCCAGCTGTGACGGGCTGATCTCAGCTGGCTGACAGACCTAGCCACTCTCTCACTCCCTCTCCCCAACAGGACAGCATGGTTCCTCTCCACAGGCTACACCATCATTTCTTCTTTCCTCTCTGAATTTGGCCTACGTTTTCAGACAAAATTTTCCCTCTTTCTTACACGCATTTTCCCAGAGATGCCAGCAGTTTGACTGGCAGGCTCAGCTGTGTCCTGAGGTGGGTATATATTGGAGTGGATTGGGCACAGGTATGTCCAGCAGGGTGACATTAGAATATCTGTTATTAAGATATGACCAAGGAATAAACAAAAATACTGAAGGCTTTTATTCATTTCTGTTTATTTCAGGATGTTCTGCATTATTTATTGTCATCTTCTGTTGCACAAGTTAAATTGTCTCCTAGCTTTGCCCAAGACAAATACAACTATCAAAGTGCCTAGAGCTGAACACGAACATCCGCACTTAGACACCTAATGAAACAACCATGGTGCCAACAGAAGCTTTTGCTTTTATGCAAAATCATTTATTTTTCTCAAAACTTAAGATAAGCTTTCTGGGAAGATAAATTATGAATCAGATTAAGGCACTGTATTTAAATAACTTGGTCCACTTAACTAGAAATCTGGGAATATTTACTGACTTTATTGAACGTACTTGGAAGACGGGAAAGTCCACAATTTTGATTATTTGTTTCTTAAATTCTACCTCATACTATGAGGCTCAGATTGTACAGTTCTGTCGCTTGTATAAACACAAAGGAAGATGCAACACATGAAGTTAAACGATAATCCCACAAGAATTATTGGAATGACTTTGAAGTGAACAGTATTGACACTAGATGAAAAACGATCCCAAAATTTAAAACTGTAAATAAAGTGTACTAAACAGTGGTCTCTTTTCATTATCAATATATATGCTGCTAAAAGGAATTACCACTTGTATTGCAGAAATCAAGTTCTCTTTCGTCCTGTGGGATGCAAATGAGATACTCCTCTTTGGAGAATTATTGAAACCTGATGACAAGAAGCAGATAAAGTAAGATGCTCTTAGCTTAATAGTGGCTGTGACATGCATCTGTAAAAGAAGCAGAAGATGAGTGAAATCAGCCTTACACGCTGACAGATGAACTTCAGCTTATCTAATATTTTCTTCTAATACCAAATCCACTTTTAGCTCTTTTAATACTAGAAAGATGGTTGCCCAGGACAAGACATGTTGTTCTGTTCTAACTCTTTGAAAGAGTTGCTCTTTTTCAGGTGCTGTACAAATAACGTTGATCATGAAAAAAACTGAGACGTATACTGTAACAGCCTTTTTTTTTTCTTTCCCAGAATACAATCTACCAAAAAGATATTTTAATAGCTGCTTTCTTCCTTTCACATTAGAATTTACCAAAAAGCAATCACTTGCATGGAATTTGGTGGAGTCCAACTTTTGACTCCATGGAGATAAAAGCAATAATAGATAAAGAGCTGGGATATTCTCTTCACTGAAATTACCTTTGCCAAGAATGTTTTGACTATGAAAACAAGTGCAGGGAAAGACTATGAAAATCATCTTAAAAAACAAAAAAAACAACAACAAAAAATCTGTTAACGTTCATTCCTTCTTTTAGGATTTTCAGTAAAGGTTATGACAGTACTGTGGAAGCAACATAGAGAGCACAATTAGCTCTCTATTAGCATTAAAAATTACAGAAGGTATGACGTACACATCCAGATGCTGATTTCCACAGCACAAATCATTCATTCTGTCCCAAATCCTAGAAGAAGTAGAATGCAGATTTAGCTATGTGGTTCAAGCCTCTAATCCGGTACACATTTTCTGTTACATATGTCTCCAGATATGCAGAATATAAAAAAAGGACTGATTTTGGAAAGTTTGCACACAGAAGATCAATCACGTGAGATGAAAGGAGAACCACTGATAGGAGCAAGAGATAGAATTAATGTAACCAGTTTGATTCACAACGGCGAGCCAAGCATAAGCATAGAAATCAAGTCTAAAGAAAAGATGACAGGACATGGGCATGTGTTCCTAGGAACAAGATTTAGCCACTATGACTGTGTAGTCAAGAATCACAGTATTATCAGTGTTGGAAAAGATCTCCAACACTAGCCAGTCCCTCACTACATCTAAATGTTTCTTGAATGCTTCCAGAGTCGGTGACTCCACCATCTCCCTGGGCAGCCTGTCCCAGTGCCTGACCACTCTTTTGAAGGAGATTTTTCTAATATCCAACCTGGCACAACTTGAGGCCATTCCCTCTAGTCCTATCATCAGTTACATGGAAGAAGAGGCCAACCTTCACATTGCTCCCTTCAAGTACTAGTAGAGAGTTCTCCCCTGAGCCCTCTCTTCTCCAGGCTGAATAATCTCAATTCTCTCAGCCACTCTTCATAAAGCCTGTGCCCCAGACACCTCATCAGTTTCCATGCCCTTCTCTGGACATGCTCCAGAGCATCAATGTCTTCTAGTGAGGGGCCCAAAACTGAACACAGTACTCAAAATGCAGCCTCACCAATGCTGAGTACAGAAGGACAATCACCTCCTTGCTCCTGCTGGAAACACTATTTCTGATACAAGCCAGGATGTCATTGACCTTTTCAGCTACCTGGGAACACTGCTGGCTCATGTTCACCTGAGCATTGACCAATGGCTCCAAGTCTGTTTCCCCTGCACAGTCTTCCAGACACTCTATCCCAAGCCTGTAGCGTTGCCTAGAGTTGTTGGGGCCAAAGTGCAGTACGTGGCCCTTGGTCTTGTTGAATTTCACCACACTAACCTCAGTCCAGCTACCCAGCCTGTCCAGATCCCTCTGTAGGCCTTCCTATGCTCAGGCAGATTGACACATCCTCCCAAGTTGGTGCCATCTCCAAACTTATTGAGGGTGCACTCGATGCCTTCATCAAGGTCATCAATACACTGAAGAGGACAGGCTGCAGTGCTGTATCCTGGGGAACACCACTCATGACCGGTCACCAGCTGGGTTTAACTCCATTACCACCACACTCTGGGCCTGGCCATCCAGCCAGCCTGCAAAGAATGCACCCATCCAAGTCCCGGGCTGCCAGCTTCTCCAGGAGAATACTGTGGGGACAGTCTCAAAGGCTTTGCTGAAGTATAGGTAGATTTCAGGTCAACAGCATTTCCCTCATCCACCAGGTAGGACACTTGATCATAGAATGAGATGAGGTTGGTCAATCAGGACCTGCTTTTCATGAACCCTTACTGTCTAGTCCTAATCCCCTATTTGTCCTGCACATGCCATGTGATCTCTCTCAAGATGATCTGCTCCGTAACCCTTCCTGGCACCGAGGTCAGATTGACAGGCCTGTAGTTCCCCAGATTGTCCTTACGAATCTTCTTGTAGATGAGTCTCATTAGCAAGCCTCCAATCCTCTAAGACCTCTCTGGTTGACCAAGAACACTGACAGATGATGGAAAGTGGCTTGGTCATTACCTCCACCAGCTCCCTCAGCACCCCTCGGTGGATCTCATCCAGCTCCATGAGTTGTGGCAGTCCAGGTGGAGTAGCAGGTTTCCACAATTCATTCTGCTCACCATCCGAGACTTCCAGGTCAAGGGACAGAGTATCCCGCAGATAACTGGTCTGACTTTTAACGACAGATGTAAAGAAGGCAATGAGAACCTCAGCCTTTTCCTTATCCTCAGTGGTCATATTCCCTGCCACATCTAGTATAGGCTGGAGATTCTCCTTAGCTCTCCTCTTACTGTTAATATATTTGTAAATTTTTTTTTGTGCTCTTTTACCCCAAGTAAACAAGTTGAGTTCAAGCTGGGCTTTTGCCTTCCTAATTTTCTCCCTACAAAGAGGGTTTGTGTCAAAGAAGACAACCAAGCAACAGGTGTCTGTGACTGAAAGTCAATCTGAAGAAGCAGTAGGAGGATGGATGGAGCCAAGATGAAAAGACTACCCTACAACACACAGCGAAAAAACATGCGGGAAGTAGCAGATGGGCAGTTTCAGTGAAGTAGATTGGAAAAGCTTGGAGAAAATACAAGAACCTGAAGGGCAAGAGCTACAGACAGCAAATACAGAGGTTATTTAAGGAACTGAGAGGTGAAGGATTAAATGGATAGCATTTAGATATGAAGGGGTCAAGAACAAGCTTAATATGCCTATGACCACAGAATGTGTTTACAGGAAAAGAGAATTTGATTCAAGTTAGGATGAGCTGAGGAATAGAAAGATAGGTACTGGTACTGATTCTTAGGAGTTATGGACAAGCTTTAAGACCATCTGCCCCAAAGAAGTTGCATTTTTCATAAACAAGAACTTCTTGAATAGCCTGGAACTTTGTAAAGATTCAATCTTTGTTAATATATGGATCAAACTCACAGATGAGATTTGAGTGTGAAATATTCCATCCGGCCTGTAGCACTCACCAACCTTTAGACAGAAAAAATAATAATGTGGTGAAATGGGATATGCCATACACCATCTGGCAGCTGTGCAAACAAGAAGAAGAACCCTATGAAGAACATTATTACACGTTTGGGGACCTGCTGATTACATTGCTTGTCTAAGGTTAGACATTCTGGTGTATAAAACTTGAGAACATAGTCTAAATCATGGATAATTTAATAGGTTACACATGGACTTCACCTCTAGTTTATTCATTCTTTTCTATTTAACAATACATCCCTTCTTAAAAGGCTGTGTTCTTTTATGGTAAATGGTTTAAAGAGCTGCTCATTTGAAAGTGACAAAATTGAAAGGAGCAATCCTCATTTTTCTACAATAGTAGGAATGTGCATAGTAGAATAGTTCTACCAAAACAGTCAATATTGTCATATATATCCAAAAGCTCATGTTTAAAATTAATATATCACCTCCAAAATTGGCAAATCATATTCCCTTTAATATATATATATGCATATATATATATATATACAAGTTTTTATTCATGTATTTTTTTTCTTCACTTTATAAAGGAGAAAAACAGAAAGTGATTAAGGAGAGTGTGTTAACAAATTTTTTTTAAAAAGCTCTTTAAACTAACAAGCTTATGGATTTTGAAGGACTGCCAGGAGAGTCATTAACAGAAAATACTCAAAAGGCACTTAAACCTGTTCTCTAGCTACAAAAGATTTGTTTCTGTCACCCTACAAGAAAACAAAACAGAAGACTCCTGCTTACTCCCTAGCTGGTTCCCCATGTTTGGCAGCACATTTCAATTACTCATTCCGGCCCTTCTTCACTGTCAGTAGTCGCTCTTCTGCTCCCACTCCATCCAAGAAAAACTCAGCTTTTCTTACCTATTCCATGTTGACAATCTCTCCCACTTAAAGCTCTGACTTCTTATTCTTTCTTCACACCATCACTACCACTAGGGCTCTGAGTTTCATCGTATCTGACTTACACATGTTCCTCTATGCATTTCTGCATTCTTTTCCAATCTCCTCTCACTGCTTCACGCCAAATTCTTCTTTTTGAAATGCTGCAACAGATGGTGCTTTGGAGAATGGGGATCAGGTGCACAGTTAAGATGGTCAGATCTGAAATTGCATATTGAGATGAATTTTCCAAATATGTAGAGCATTAGGTGCTACTCTATCATGGGAACTAACCTCAAGCACTGTGATCCCACTCTTATAAGTAGTAAATGATCACAGCATCACTGTGAAGAAATTCTTCCTCTTATTTCCCCTACGAATGTGGGAACATTATCGTGTAATATTGATTCATCTCTTCTTTCATGATGTCTCAGGATAGCAAAGCACATTGATTCCAAGTCAGTGAAACAATATAAAATGAGTTTTCTATAGATTTCTGTCTCAGGTCTTCTATGTCATCCCCACCACAGTACCTTCATATCCTTTTTATATCTCCTAGCCTCCTCTTAAGTTTCTCTGCCTCATCCTATCTTACCTGTGATTGTCATAATGCGAGCTTTTTCCTATGTATCCCTTCACCTCTTAAAGACTTTGCTCTCCTATGACTTCTGCCCAAAATGTTGGGCTGGCTGGCTGACTTGGCTAAGAACAG